TAGGTGCTGATTTTGTAATATTCCATCAAACTGTTCATTTATACAATTTTATATCTCTGTGTTATTTCACAGTAGAAAGTTTGAACAATGTATAGGGAAGATAAACACAAAAAACATGAGCACACAAATCTATCCAGAGATAATCACTATCAATAATTTGGAATATCACTTATCACTCACTCACTCCTGGCCCCCTTATCTAGGAGTATCCCCTCCCCTAACTCCCTCCCCTCTCTGACTTTATTTTTCTTTTTAGCACCTATCACTCATCTAACAGATTATATATTTATTTTACATATTTATATTTTATTGTCTAGTGTCTATGTCCAACAGTGGAATGACATTTCCAAGAGGGTGGGATTTGTGTCTACTTTTTTACCGCTGACGCTCTAGGGTCTGCAGGTGTCTTGCATACAGTACGTGCGCCATGTTTACTTCTTGAATAAATGAATACTTGATTTGATAGGCAAATTTTTTTAAATTTAAACTTATTTAGTTATCAATGACGCAGAACTTTTTTTTCCAAAAGTGTTTTAGACATATTTACTTCTCTATGTTTTGTCTGATCATGTTCTTTGGCCATTTTTAAAAGGTAAGGTCCAAAGACAATGCTTTCTCTATATTGCTACTGCTTCTCCTCCAAACATTACTAACTAGTATGAGTTTCCTACTAAAGAGATTAAACCCTCTATTGCCACATTTTATAACATATATATTTGTAGTGTAAGGTTCACCTTTTAATGATCTTTTTAAATAAAATAATTTATATTTTTTATGTAGTTAAATCTACTGCGAGTTCTTCCTCTTAGGTGAGCTTGGTCTTAAGGCAGCAGCTTTTTATAATTCCGTCAATGTCCCAGAAAATCTTCCCTTTTCTTATTTCCATAGACCCCTCTGATGCTCACTTATCTGAAACTCACTCACTTCGGGCAGTGACAGTAAGCTATTTTCCTGTAAGGAGTGTCGGTGAGTTTTTATAGCAGTAACCACACGTGGATTTTGCCCTCATTAGGTTGTAACTGTCCACAAACAGTCGCGTGGGTTTATGGTGACATCCAGAGCCCAGTCCCACTAGGTTGGCCGTGGCTTGTATGGCTGATGGACTATTTCAGCAGCAAGGTACAGGGCTATCTCTTTTTCTGAGCTGTCTCTCATCTATCCTCAGATACCAATCACCAAATTAGAAGCCTCCCCTACTCCAACCCCAAAGGACTTCGTGGCCTCTGGCAAAAAGATGACAAAACTGAGGCACAACAATGTCTAAGCAATGTGTTAAAATTTACACAGTAGAAGACTGATACTCAAAGCATTTAATAACTTGCATGATGGGCACCAAAAACTGACCAATCAGAACAGACACGAGCATGCACTCTAACCAATCAGAACGGAGGCCAGCTGGGAGTAACCACTAGGCCCCACCACTGAGAACGGTCGTTGGCGGCAGGTCGGTCGGGGGCTCCGCGCCTCTGCTCCTGCAGGCGTTCTGTCCTCCGCGGGACCTCGTGGCGGCCCAGTCCGCGCCGATTCCCAGCCCTGCTTGTGCTGCTCGGCGGTCTCCCGTCCCTGCCAAGCCTTCCACACAGCCGCCTGTGCCCAGCTCTGAACGCCGCAGCGTCGAGAAGGAGGAGGGAAGGGGGAGGCGGCGGTGCTGGGGCGTGTGAGGCGAACCGCCTCCTGGAGGAAAGTTTCGGGAAGGCAGAACCGATCCGCAAAGCAGCTGTCCAGGAAAGGGTGACCGTGTTCGGCAGTCCCTAAGATCTCGAGAACTCTTTGGGAGGGAAGTAGATTTTATGCAAATATGTAGGATGCGGTTTCAAGATATTATCGTTATGATGATGCTGTTAAAGGGATGGTGAGCCCGGAAGGGTGAAAATGTCGGGAACACTGGAACAGACACGCTGAAAAGCCAGGGGACAGTTTAAGAACACATTTTCGGAGTCAGACAGAGCTCCACATGTGGCTCTGACATTTATAAGTCAAGTGCCCTAAGTGAAGCTTCCTTCCCGAAATCTCCTCAGTCCGTAAAATGGGTATACTAGTAGCGGGTAGCGGTGGGGTTGCAGGAACAGCCCCGAGCGTGGCGGACGGAGGTTCGGTCGATGTGGGCGCCGCTGCAGAGCGGTGACGTCCTCGCTTTCGTCATCACCAGTGGGGCGGCCAAAGCGAGCGCTGCGAGAAAGCCGCCTCCCCTCAGGGACGGGGCTGCGAGCTCAGATCACCCAGGAGCGAACGGGGAAATGGCAGAAAAGAGGCCGAGAGTTAATTCGGCCTCAGGGCAGGAGAGAAGCCCCGGGGCAGGGTTCGATCGTCCACGGATCTGAGAGGTCTGACGGCGCTCCCCGACCTTGGCACCTGGCACCGCGTCCACGGAGCGCCGACCTCCGCAGACCTCGGCGGTGGGGGCGGGGCGGGAGGCGGAGCTCGGGCGGCGCCGCGACGGGAGCGGCTGGGACCGCGACGGCGCTTCGCTCGCCCGCCGCCTGCGCGCGGCCCGGCTCCTCGGTCCCACGGAAGACAGTTTTCCCACGGAACGGGGTGGGGTGGGGTGCGGCTCTGTGGCCCCGTCCCTAACAGGCCACTGACTGGGGGTTGGGGACTGCGGTGGCCAGAGAATCGGGGAGCAGGTGAATAGGGCTTATGAAACACCAAGGCGGGTGACGAGAAGCATGTTTTTAGACTAAGAGGGCGTCTCGGCCTGTCACATTGTATCCTTTGCTTTTTCACTCTGGGAAGTTGAAGGCGGTCAGGGGGTAGTGCCCGCTGATTTTGTCCTTTTACACACTATCTTGATTAAATGTTTTTAGGTGACTGGTCAGAACTGGTGAGACGAGGTGAGGCCAGGCGAGGGGAGGTGTGTACTCTGGTGCCCTGTTGGAGGAAATGTAAATTAGTACAAACTTCTTGGCAATGTATCTCAAAATGCCTTGAAAATGGTCATCCACCTGGGTGCAAGCTTCGGAGCAGACTCCTGTGGAAAGCGTCAGAAATGGCTGATGAAAGGGAGCCGTCGGTGCTGTGTAGTGAGTGACAGGAGCACGTAAGGAGAAGACTGTAAAGAAACTCGTAAAAGTTTGATCAGTTGTTATATCTGGGGGGTGGGATTATGAAAAACGACTTACTTCATTTTACTTTTAAGACTTTCCTAAATTTCTCCAATATGTTACTTATAAGAAAAATATATTTAAAAATAAAGGGATGTTTAGGGCAGTGAAATACTCTCCTGGATGCCGTAACGGCAGATACGTGCCATTACACGTTTGTCCAAACCCATGGAATACAACACTGAGAGGGAACCTTGCTGTAAACTGTGGACTCTGGGTGACAATGAGGTGTCCGTGTAGGGTGTAGGTTCATTCGCTGTGACAGACGTGCCTCTCTGGTGGAGGATGTTGATAGTAGGGGAGAGGGCGGGAACATGTGGGATATTTCTGTTCCTTCCTCTCAATTTTGCTGTGAACATAAAAGTGCTCTTTAAAAATAAAGTCATTTAAAATACATTAAATAAAAATTCATTTCCTTCTTTCCATCCTCCTCTGCCTCTCTCTTTCCGAATCAAGAGCCTGGTTGTTCTGGTAATGACAGGCACGTGATGGCCCATTGTGGACTTTGTCCTTAGTCCTCCTCTCTCCCTTTGTGATTCTGCTGTGGGTTTGGACTGGGGTCACATGGCTTCCTCCAGTGTGACGGAACCCTGCAGGGTATGCCTCTTAACAGTCACATTTCTGGGGACAAAGCCAAACTAGGCAAGTCACCTCACCCATGGGGACACTCTGGGCTTAATTCAGCATTCTTTGCTTAAAGTTCATCTTGTTTCAGAGATCTCAGAATAGGCCCCAGGAAGTGGGAGAAAGAGGGGGGGGTGATAGTTTTCTTTTCTTTTTTTTTTTTTTTTTTAAGTGTAAGGATGGACTTTATTTTAAAAAAAAGTCTTTTGAGGACTACAAATTACAAAGTAAAAGCAGATCACTACATAGAAATCTAGTGAATACATTTTGCCTGTGCACGAAAACTTTATCAAAGTTATTCATTTAACAAATTCACCCCATTCACAATGTTATCAGTTATAATGCTCTTTTAAAGGTTACTATACCTTTATTTCAAATTATATTACACGTTATTCCCCCAGGATGAACTTTTAAACACCAAAGTCTTGGCTCATAAGAATGGCACCTTCAAAAGGGGCAGTCTCCACTCAGTTTCTGGTAGCATTATTCCAGGCTAGTTTCTCTCACCAATTAAAAAACCTTCACAATGTTCACTTTTAACACAAAGTCTTTCCTTCAAAAAAATGTGACTACATTTTTTTTCCTCTAATGTCTACATACATAGATGGGTAGCAGCAAGAAAAGGAAGATGAAAATTGAAAGGCAGCCATTAACATAAATGGATCAATTGTATAGAAGTATTTGGCTCATGGCAATTAAAAAATGGCAACTAGGGTATATGTTAATAGCCCAGATGCTTGAGTCATTACTGAGTATTTTAAGAGAATGAAGCCAGTCCAATATGACCAACTAGGAATATGTAATTACCACTGCACTTCACTCTTTACAAATTCTCTAAGCCAATAGGAAATCTAAGTTATAGCTAGATTCCCAATTAGAACATGCTGACTCTTAACACTTTCAACAATTTTTACAGGGTATATACATACATCTGTCATTTCTTTTACTCCAATTTCTTTATGAGTCCTTCCCTATCAATCTAAGCAGATTCTGAACATAAAATATTTTAAATGATAAGACTTTTCTAGGTACATTTGAAAATGGTTGTATTAAAAGAATACTCATTTGTTCCGCCTGGAAAGATACAAATTGAATACAGAAGTTTCTCAATAGGAAAAAGCTCAATGTTCTTCCCGCCACCTCTGCCACATTTGATTTCTCCAACTTTTTAAGTTTGCTCTTCATGGCTTCACTAAGGATGGAAACCATAGCAAACAAATGAGCTTAAGGACATCTGGAGTTAAAAATGCAAAAAAATGTTAACATGTAAGCAATGGTCTAAATACTCAAGATTCATGTTAATGAATTCAATTACTGTAGATGAGATTTTCATTGATGAGTAGGGCTCTGGGCATATCAAATTATCACACAAATCATTGCCTTTTGAGACTTTGGATGCTTTTACAGTTTAACTTGCAAACCGAATTTTTATAACAAATTATTTTTAACCAAATCATATCTTGAAAACTGTTTATAGAAAACCCAGGGAATAAAGTGAACGGTTCATTGTGGAAGGCCTTAAATTACATTATTACAGTAGAAAATACAGGAGGTAGAAGATAACTGAAAAGACTAATGTGGCATTAGATTCAAATCTATAGCTCCTGTAGCTACTTAAAACATGGTTTTAGAAACTAAACTCAACATTTCCAGTAACCATAGAAACAGTTAAAATAAAATTTGCCATGAAAGCCCTTATATCATGCTTGATATAGGGAGGTAGGAAGATGTAAGAACCAGGACACGAGACATGACATTTTATCTACAACTCCTGTTTGCTTTACTGAGGGTGTAGTTTCAAAATTCAGTCACCTTCTTCACCTTCAGACTCAGATTCTTCTTCAGCATTTTTGAGCCATTCTACAAACTTTTTCATTTGCTCAAGGAAGACACTTTTTCCCTTTGCAACATGTGCATCTTTATACCACTTCAGAATGGGCTCTTCACTCAGGACTTCAGCTTTATAAAAAAGCACCACTATTTTCTGGAAGGCTTTCATGAAATGAATGTTGTCATAGCAATACTCCCGAATCTTCAGTAACAGAGTCAGCTCAGACTGACCTTGAGTAGTGAAGGCAGCAAGTAGAGGGCTGTATTGCTTCAAGTGCTTGATGGCTTGCTCTGCTACAAGCTCCTCTTTTTTGTTCCATTCCACAGTGCTCATTACACTTGACCAGACTATTCCAATGACAACTGGTTCTGGGATGTTGTTTTTTTCGTCTCCTCCTTGACATACAAAATTATATCCTTGAATGGATCGCCACGGGACATCTGCTCTTGAAGTTCCTTCTGGAGCTCCTTCCGAGCTCCTATGGTTTGCTGATTCCGAACATACTCTGAAAGCTCTTTCAAGCCCGCTTCAGTAAAATACTTTGTGAAGTGTTCAACGCTTTGCTTATTGGCAGGAAAGAGTTCCATCAATCTGTTATCCATGCTGACTTTCCGAAGACTTGCAGCTACTGCATTGATATCTTTTTCATTTATCCATGATTTAAAGAGCTTTACAGCAAAAGCTGCTGAAACCCCTTCTTTAACCAGATTCTCATTATAAAGGCTATTGAGAATGGATGCATTAAGTGTTCCATTAGCCAGAAGAACACCAGTCAACATAGCCAGCTTGTTCCTCTCCGACTCTGAAAAACCCTTTAAAAACAGCAGCAGCTTTTTTACTTCATCTTCAAAACCTTTCTCCAGGTATTTGTAGTGCCTGATTAACTTGTTAAAAACCTGAGCAAATGCTTGCATGGTCTCTAGGTCTTCTTGTGCTGCAAACACGCAGACATCTGTACGCATCATGTCATCTGCCAATGAACCACCTGGGGCCAGCATTCCACCAGCCACCAGAATATCAAAGAGTGTTTCTGCATATCGACAGTGATCAAGTTTTGCTCCAGAAGCATCAAGAAATTTAGCTACTGCTTCCAAATCAGTACCAGTTTCAGTTAAGCCTTGAATAATACAGTCTTGAAACTGAGTAGGGTCAAACCTCTCTTTTTCATCTCTTTTTCTGGTTTTAAAACGCTGGCCTGATAGCGTTGGCTTTTGCTGCTTTTGATTATTCATAAAAGACACCCGAATTTAAGGCGAAGAGAAAAGAGCCTGAAATCCCCGATGTGGCGGCAACTGCAGCGGTGTCTCCTCTGTGACTGGAACTAACGCGAGGAGGAGAAGGAGGAGGGAAGAGCAGTTTTCTTATCCAGTAATATTTTTTCTTAGCAAATTAACAGTCATACCTGGTATCCTCAGTTGGATTTATCTTGGTTGATGAGAACATGTTTAGTCTTAGACCAAGAAGAAAACAATGTGTTTGAGCTTGACGGTTTTGCAAGAGAGGTTCATTCATTCATTCATTCATTCGCTCTCAGCTCCTCCTCTGTGTCACGCACTGTTTTAGGCGCTGGGAATGTATCTGTGAACAAATCAGGAAAACTTTCTGCTTTGATGGACGTTATGTACTGGGGGTGAGAGTCAATGGTTAATAGTGCAGTGAAGAAAAATGAAGCAGGGTCGGCCGGGCGCGGTGGCTCACGCCTGTAATCCTAGCACTCTGGGAGGCCAAGGCGGGAGGATTGCTTGAGCTCAGGAGTTCGAGACCAGCCTGAGCAAGAGCGAGACCCCGTCTCTACTAAAAATAGAAAGAAATTAACCAAAACAACTAAAAATAGAAAAAATTAGCCGGGCATGGTGGCATGCACCTGTAGTCTCAGCTACCTGGGAGGCTGAGGCAGGAGGATCACTTGAGCCCAGGAGTGTGAGGTTGCTGTGAGCTATGCTGATGCCACTGCACTCTAGCCTGGGCAACACGGTGAGACTCTGTCTCAAAAAAAAAAAAAAATTAAAACTTGATTTTAATGTGAAGCTGAGGTCGAGAAGCACTGATGAAAGGGTCCCTCTGACTGTTTCGAGAAGAGAGGAGCGGGGCCAAGGCTGGAGGTGTGCGGACATTTAGGCCAGGGGAGGGAGGAGGGTGGTGTGCTCTGCGCGGTAGTGATGGAGATGGTGAGGAAAGGTTGGATTATGGAAGTAATTTAAGGCAGACCCCTAATCCAGTGCTGCTACTGCTGCCGGGCCTGGGTGGGTACCGACCAACGTACCTAAAGCCTGTCTTCTCAGCTGGTCTCTATCAGCAAGAAAGGTGAGTTTTGGCCTCCCTGTTTACTTTGTGCTGTTTCTCAACTTGTTGAGAACCTGGATGGGGAAGAAGGTTGCTATTTATGGGAGAAAGTTCTTAGGGACTCATAACAAGTCAGTGTGTGCGCATGCGTCTGGCCACAGTCAGCTACCCAAGGGCAGTGGCCACATTGGTGGTCAATTATATTATTATATTTCACAGGGAGAAGACAGGGGCAAGATGTACCTATGGGAATGATGCCAAGGATATACCCTGGGATCTGAGGGAAGGTGAGACTACCTGGTGAAGAGGGGGTGGTATGATTGATGGATCATAAGTCCTGGTAGGGTCAAAGAATTGTTTGTCAAAATATCAAGTTGAACACCTTAAATGTATACAATTTCTGTTTGCCAATTTTACCCCAATGAAGATTGAGAGATAAAAAGAATTTCTGGACTCAGGAGAGAGAGAGAGCCGGAGGCCGGGTGTGGTGGCTCACGCCTGTGAGCACTTTAGAAGGCCAAGGTGGGAGGATCGCTTGAGGCCAGGAGTTCGAGGCTAGCCTGGGCAACACAGCTCTACCAAAAATAACAAATATTAGCCAGGTGTGGTGGTGCTTGTCTATAGTCCTAGCTGCTTGGGAGGCAGAGGCAGGAGGATCTCTTGAGCCTGGGAGTTGGAGATTGCAGTGAGCTGTGATCATGCCACTGCCCTCCAGCCTGGGCAACAGAATGAGACCCTGTGTCATACAAAAAAAAAAAAAAAAGAACTGAAAGGATAAAAGGGGATGAGAATTGAGATGTGTAACACTAAGACTGTAAATAGGTTGTTAGTAACGACAAGGTCTACGGCACGACCATGGCGGTGGCTGAGGGGTATGGAGGACACAATCACCGAAGCAGAGGAGGAAACAGTGAAAAGTGAGGAGAGTACTGAACTCGGAGTCAGAAATCCTGGGTTTGAGTCCCTGTTCTGTCACTGACTGGCTGTGTAATCTCAAAATCTCTACCATTCCAAGCCTCCGTGTCCCCAGCTGCAAAGTGCCAGTCTGGCAGGCAATGGAAGACCCTAAATGGCGTGATATATGTGAGATTGTTTCATAGGCTGGAAAATGCTCTCTCTTTGTGAGGGACTGTAACCACTGGAAAAGGATGCAAAGTAACCTTTTCTTAGTTAGTGAACCAAAGCAAGAGTCAACACAGCTCCAAACCTCAGTACCTGGGACGTTGCGTAAGCTGAGAGGCTACCAAAGGACAATGATACAGGAGCTGAACGGATGACTCTTTGAGACCTTCCTGTTGCCAGTCTTTCTGGTACTCTTTCTGTGATGAATAATTCTAGAAGTGTAGTGTTTAATGGCGTGATTCCCTTTTGCAGATGAGAGGAGCGGCTTTGGTGTCAGGGAGTGGGCACAGGAGCTGGGAGGAGAAGGATGGGTAAGTAATTCAGTCTTCCAGGAGAAGAGTGGTTACTAGATGTAACTTGTGTTGGAAGCTGTTTTGTTCAGTCGTTTTAAAGGAATCTGATTTACCTT